GGCTGGGAATACATAATTGGGTGGAAATAAACTTTACTTCTGAAATGTGTTGATAAAGTCATTTTTATTTTTGATGACTGGTTTTGTTTTAATTGTGAACAAATCCTTAAGCTGATCTGTATCCAGGCAATCATTTAAAATTTTTGATGTTGGCCGGGCGTGATGGCTCAGCACCTGTAATTCCAGCACTCTGGGAAGCTGAGGTGGGAGGATCACTTGACCCAGGAATTCGAGACCAGCCTGGGCAACATGGTGATATCCCTTTCTCAAAAAAAAAAAAAAAAAAAATTTTGATGTCTAACGAATATTGGAAACAATATATATATTTTCAAGATATAGTTTAGGGAGGAGGGGAATGTTGCAATATATTTTGGGAAGCTGAGCACGGTGATCAATGTCACATTTGTTTTTGGCTTTATGGTTAAATATTTTACGTTCCCTCAATTTTTCTTAGTCTTTAAAAAGTTTGTCTTTGATTAAAACATTATTTTTTTAAATGGTATAGTTTTAGTTTTATATGTTTTCTTACATAAAACTTCATCATCTAAGTTTTAAAATTTCAAATTCATTTAATATGTTAGCATAATTCCAACATTTTGCATTCTGTAAACTTTTTATATTTTGGGATATGATCCTTTCTTCTTGGGATCTTCTGAAAGACTGCAGGGAACGATAGGGTTTGTGTAAGCCCAGAGGCCTTTTTCTCATGTCTTTATCTTTGTTTCTATGACTCACCTTTGAATGTTCCCCCACACTTTCCTCTTACTAAAATTCTGTTCTTTCAGTAAGACTCAAGTTAAAAGACAATTTTGTCAGAGAGCCTTCCCTAATCTCCCAAGTAGAAAACTCTCTCCTTCCTCTGAGGGATGCCTCTACTTAACCTTTGGTTCTGTTTTGTTCTATAATTAACTGCCCATGTGCCATTCTATCCCACTCTATGCTAGTTCTGGATGGCAGAAGTGGGTCTTACCCATGTTTGTACCCCTCAGGGCCCAGTGCCTGTGCCTAATAATCATCTGCACTCACTGAGCACTCACTTTGTGACAGGCCTACTCCATTCTCATAACCCGGTGAGGGAGGAACCATTATTATCTCCATTTTATAGATGAGTAAACTGAGGCATGGAGAGGTAACATAAATTGCCTAAGGTTGGCTGGGCATGGTGGCTCACGCCTGTATTCCCAGTGCTTTGGGAGGCCGAGGTAGGTGGATCACCTGAGGTCAGGAGTTTGAGACCAGCCTGACCAACATGGTAAAACCCGGTCTCTACTAAAAATACAAAAATTAGCCCGGCGTCATGGCACACACCTGTAATCCCAGCTACTCAGGAGGCTGAGGCAAGAGAGTTGCTTGAACCCAGGAGGCAGAGGTTGCAGTGAGCCAAGATCGTGCCACTGCACTCCAGCTTGGACAATGGGAGACTCTGTCTCAAAAAATAAATTAAAAATAAATAAATAAATTGCCCAAGGTTGCCCAGCTAGTAAATGGCAGAACTATTCTTTTGACAATGTATCTTCTTCTCCTTGTTCTTTTTTTTTTTTTTTGAGGCAGGGTCTCACTTGGTTACCCAGGAATACAGTGGCATGATCACCACTACTGCAGCTTCAACGTCCCAGGCTCAATCAATTAATCCTCCAACCTCAGCCTCCTGGGTAGGTGGGCTCATGCCACCACAGTCATTAATGACAGTGAATCTTCCGAATAATTAGATAAGCTTAACGTTTCCTTTTGTTTCTTTAGGTGTAAGTATGGCTCCAAAGCCTGAGCTTTTAATCTCAGCTATAAATATTTGTTTAAATTAAGAGAAAAAAAAATAATCTTATCTAGATAGAAATATTTGCATGTAGCTTTCCTTGTTATTCTCTGTTGAAAAACAAAATAATATTTTGTGCACAGCTTTAAAATTTTCCCTGAGAAAACAAAGCAGTTCAATTTTCATCACTCTGTTAGCTAGTCTTCTTAAAAGCCAATGGAAAACCCAGTGCTGCACTAAAGCTATATTTGTGTTTCAAATGTTTAGGCTTATGCTGACTACTCTAGATTCTAACCAGTGGCTGAATTAAAAGTTCCCATGGATAAAACACAAGGGCGATGGGAGAGCTAATAATGAAGAGTGCTTTCAACTGATGAACAGGTTGGATTGTGACAATTCTGCTCCAGGACTAGCTACAAAAGTCCATTTACTCAGAACAAGAACCCGGGGTTGAGTCAGCAGGCCTGGATTTCTTCCACCTCTAATGCTTACTTTATCTTTGTGCTGCTTAGTTTTTCACTTATTAAATAGGGGAAATAGCACCTATGCTCCTCTGAGGGGATTACACAAAAGAGTTTTAGAAATGGATATTGTTTTATTATTGTTGCTATCATTCTTGTTACCATTTTTGTAGTATTTAAATTCTACGTGTAATAGTGTTTCTATGGAAAAAGAAATTTTTTTCTTTTTGTTTTTTGAGATAGAGTCTCACTCTGTCGCCCAGGCTAGAGTGCAGTGATGTGATCTTGGCTCACTGCATCCAATGTCTCACGGGCTAAAATTATTCTCCTACCTCAATCTCCGGAATAGCTGGGATCACAGGCATTTGCCACCATGCCCAGATAATTGTTCTATTTTTAGTAGAGATGGAGTTTCACTGTATTGGCCAGGCTGGTCTCGAACTCCTGACCTCAGGTGATCCACCCACCTAGGCCTCTCAAAGTGCTGCGATTACAGGCCTGAGCCACCTTTTTCCATAGATAGCCCACCTATGGAAAACATTTTTTGAATTTAAAAATGAGATTATAAGAGCAAGTCTCAGCCAGGTAGAGTGGCTCACACCTGAAATCCCAACACTTTGGGAAGGCCACGGAGGAAGGATTGCTTGAGATCAGGAATTCAGGCCAAGCCTGGACAACAAAGCTACATCCGTGTCTCTACAAAAAAAACAAAAACAAAAACAATTAAAAATTAAAAATTAGCAGGATGTGGTGGCACACGCCTGTAGTCCCAGCTACTCAGGAGGAGGCTGAGGTGGAAGGATATCTTGAACCCAGGTGTTTGTAGCTGCAGTGAGTTGTGATGACACCACTGCACTCCAGCCTGGATGACAGAGCAAGACACCGTCTCTGCCTTGGCTTTTACTCACACTATGTTGTAGAGGATTCTGGAAACTTGAGTTCCCACTGCTTTGCCTGTTGGCAGTGCAACTGAGGACTCGCCAGTTTCAAGCTCCATGGCTTGGAGTGGAAGAAAGGACAAGCAAGGTCCAGGGACTAAGGAAGCTGAGGACCAAGAATCTGTGCTAGTGAAATGAATGTCCTATTTCCCAGGCACACCAATTAACTTCTCACATTAGGCCTTTCCCCAGGCCATGGTTTTCCCCACTTCAGTGCCAACACGGACCTAGGGGCTTTTCTCCCTGCTGCCGTGTCCAGCCGAGTTTCCGCTTCTCTCTTCTCCTCCAGCTCCAAAAATAAGTCAACAGCTCTGCACTGCCTACCTTAGAGTTAACTGTGGAAATCAAATGAAATGCTGTGTAAACTCTACAAATGTTCACTGCTATTGTTATTCGGAGCAACCTTAACATATCTGGAAAGTGGGCTTAGTGGTTAAGGGAGATTTCTAGTTAAATGAAGCATTTAACTTATTATTTAGCAATATTAATTATTTAGTGGCATTATTTAGTATACCCTCCAAAATGTGTTTACATGTTTTACCAGTTTATCTCTTTATTCTTCTTAAGAACTCTAAGAAGGCCGCAGTGGCTCACGCCTGTAATCCCAACACTTTGGGAGGACAAGGGGGTCAGATCACTTGAGGTCTGGAGTTCAAGACCAGCCTGGCCAACATGGTGAAACCCTGTCTCTACTAAAAATATAAAAATTAGCTGGGCGTGGTGTCGTGTGCCTGTAATCCTAGCTACTTGGGAGGCTGAGGCACGAGAATCACTTTAACTCGGGAGGCGGAGGTTGCGGTGAGCTGAGATAGCGCCACTGCACTCCAGCCTGAGCAACAGAGTGAGACTCCGTCACACACACACACACACACACACACACACACACACACACACACACAAACCCTAAGAAATTCTTTCTTTTCTTTTCTTTCTTTCTTTCTTTCATCTCGCTCTGTTGCCCAGGTTGGAATTCAGTGGTGAGATCATGGCTCACTGCAGCCACTCTGCAGACTCAATCAATCCTCCCACTTCAACCTCCCTAGTAGCTGGGACTACAGGCCTGTGCCACCATGCCCGGCTAATTTTTATAGGTTTTTTTAGAGACAGGGTTTCATCATATTGTCCAGGCTGGTCTTGAACTTAGACTCAAATAATCCACCTGCCTTAGCCTTCCAAAGTGCTTGGATGACAGGTGTGGGCCACTGCACCTGGACTACATACTCTTAATTTTCTCCATTTTATACATTTAAAAATTAAGGCTAAAAGATCGAGTAATCTGCCCAAGGTCATCCATTTCATAAGAAGCAGTGCTGGAAGTAAAAACTGATGCCAAGCCTTTGTGGTCAACCACAACATACAAGATTTCAGACAACAAATGCCTCACGTCCCTTCTGCAGTTCACGACTAAATTGGTTGTTTCCTTTCACTGTCCATTTTAATAAATTTACTAGTTTATCAATCACTAATTTTTTGTTATTGCCAAGCACCAGTTGTCTCTTTAGCGTTACATGGGGTGGGCTGGAGGAGGCTAGGGTACTGATTCCTCTCTACAGTAAGTGCCCCAAAAATGACAGTCTCAAGAAAGGCTGGTCAGAAATGCCAACTTAATGTTTCAAATAAAATGGAAAAACTGAAAAGTACTTACTCATTAAAGTAACTGGTGATGTTTAAGCATCTCTCTCAGTTGATTCTAGATTCGTCCCTAGATAGCTTTCTTCCTCTCCTGTAGATCATTGTGGCCAGACGGGAGATCTCTGAGCTTGGGCTATAGGGGAAATAGGTTAGCCTTTGGGTGCTGCTATGCTTGCAAGCCAGCGTCTGGGGAGAAGATGACATTTCCGGTGGCATCTGGGGCAAATGACACGAGTCAGCATTTACTTCTTGGAAGCAGAAGACTAATGACCGAAGCTTCAAGACTTTGACATGTATGAAAACATGAAATGGTAAGTCAATACAAAGACAGCATCTTCCTGGAATTTGTTTTTGAGCTTGTTTTCATTTCACTTTTCTCAGTAATCTGGGTGTAGCTTATTTTGACTCTTCTTTTGATTAAACAATTCAGACCCTCGGCTCTTATTGTTCTTGCTGGTGTGGTGCGTTCACAGCTGAGGAGGTGGTCAGAAGAGGAAAGGAGGAAGTGAGAAGAAACACGGAAATGGTAAGAAGAACTCTACTTTTCTAACTAATATTTCGTAGTAGTAATCTTGTGTTTCTGTGCAATGTGTTACAGTTTACAAACCACTTTTATTTTTATTTATTTATTTTTTTTGAGATGGAGTTTCGGTCTTGTTGCCCAGGCTGCAGTGCAGTGGTGTGGTCTCGGCTCATTGCAACCTCTGCCTCCCAGGTTCAAGCAATGCTGCTTCAGGCTCCAGGAAGCTGGGACTACAGGCACCCATCACCACACCGGGCTGATTTTTGTGTTTTTAGTAGAGACAGGGTTTTGCCATGTTGGCCAGTCTTGTCGTGAACTCCTGACCTCAGGTGATCCACCCGCCTCAGCCTCCCAAAGTGCTGGGATTATAGGAGTAAGCCACCGCGCCAGGCCACAAACCGCTTTTAAATCCTTTCACTTCATCTCTCCACTGCCCTCTTGATGGAAAAATAGCCCAGTCCACACTACAGGAAACCACAGGCCTGAGCCCTGGCCTCAGCTAGATCCAGTATGTGGCAGAGCAAGACAAGAACTTTCTGCTTCCTCCCCTAGTGTTCCACTTGAAACCAGCAGGTAACTCAAGGGGACAGTGTGCTTAAAAGGGAGACTGTTCGCCTGGCGCCGTGGCTCACGCTTGTAATCCCAGCACTTTGGGAGGCCGAGGCAGCTGGATCACCTGAGGTGAGGAGTTCAAGACCAGCTGGCCAACATGGTGAAACATTGTCTCTACTAAAAATACAAAAATTAGCTGGGCGTGGTGGCGGGTGCCTGTAATCCCAGCTACTCGGGAGGCAGAGGTTACAGTGAGCCGAAATCACCCCGCTGCACTCCAGTCAGGGCGACAAGAGCAAGACTCCATCTTTAAAAAAAAAAAAAAGCGGGGGTGAGGAGGTGGTCTTCTGATCGATTAGATAAGTGTAGGCATTTGTTTTCTTTTGTCTGGAATAATATGATTTCGGGGAGGGGAATATCACTTTCCCTACAAATACCAAGATGAAAAAGAAAAGGAAATAATGAATCAGAAAAAAAGAGAGAGAGAAAGAGAGAGAAAATGCATGATTACAGAAGATCCCAATGCATGACTACAGAAGATCAGAATGTGCCACCCCCAGGTTCCCGTAATCCCAGCTCCTTGGGAGGCTGAGGCAGGAGAATCGCTTCAACCCAGGAGGTGCAGGTTGCAGTGAGCTGAGATTGCACCATTGTACCTCAGCCAAGGCGACAGCAGGACTCCATCTCAAAAATAAAAAATATGCCACCCCAAAATATAGTTATTTGGCGTATTTCGAGCTGATTATTCTGAGCAACTGCAGACACAGGGGTATCTGAAAAGCTGTCCTTTTGTAAAATAAATTTATATTTATAAAAGAGATCTACATTAGTCAAAGTATCTGTATCAGGAAGAGTCCTGCTCTCAGACAACTTTTATTACCTGGGAGACTTTTCATTTACATAACAAGACAACCTTTATTCACCATCCATTTCTTCTCATCACCCTCCTATAACTTGTCACTAGTTCTCTGCAAGCCCCAAGTCCCTATTCCTTCCTGTAGCTCAGGATAAGCTTCCATCATCTGGCCTTTCTTTGAGTCTCATGTTTTGTGGGATTCCAGTGTGTGTGCATATAATTAAAAATGTTTTCTCCTTTTCTTTTTTTTAATTGAGATTTGGTCTCATTATGTCGCCCAGGCTGGTCTTGAACTCGTGGGATCAAGTGATCCTCCCTTGATCCTCCCTTGATCCTCAGCTTCCCAAAGTGCTGGGATCACAGGCATGAGCCACTGAGCCTGGCCAAAAATGTTTTTTCTTCTGTTAATCTGTTTTGTGTCAATTTAATTTGTATCCCAGCCAAAGAACCTAGAAGTATGGAAGAAGCCATTTTCCCTCCCTTACAGTACAAAATAACTAACCAACAAGAGTAAGAGATTTCAAAACAGTCCTGAATTACATGCTCTGAAGACTTAGTTTATTTTTAATGGTATGCTATTTATGTAAACTGGATTATAATGTGACATAATTGTCTTTCCTTGAAAAATATCATTTTACTTTATATCACTGTCTACTCAGTGTGTGGCTTAAAATTAATTCCATACATTGTGCATTGTTTTCATCCTCTTGTCTATGGCCATCAATAATGTTATCTTGCATTTCCCCATGAATTTTAGTACAGTCATTACCATGAAATTTAATACAATCAAGGCAGAACCCAACTGATAGCCTTAATATTTTATAATTCAGAGTAATCTATTACATATCTTTGAAAATCTGCCATTATTTAGTTCTAGCAATTCTATAAATGAATTGCAAATCTTCCTAGTCCTGTAGATTTCAGCTGGTCTGTGCACTGTGAGAATAGAAGAACAATCTCTGTAATCATCCCAAGACCAGAGAACAGAGGAGCTATAATAATGCAAATGATAATTCCACTTATACTCTTTAAACTTAAAGTTGTTTGAGATCAACAGATTTTCAACTGATTTTCTGGCTTCCAAGAACTTATTATGCTCTATGTAGACAGCTACTATTGCTATTCTGGCTACTAGTGCTATTGTGGCCCTATTGCATGTTTCAAAGCTCAGTGAGCCATCTCTTTTTTTTTTTTACCCACCAAACTTGGCTTTTTCTTAAACAGTAATGACAACTTATGCACATATAATGTTTTACCCTGTGAATGTGCTTTCACACAGATATCCTTTAATATTAGCAGCTCGTTAGTAGTTATAGCCACAGAGAAATTTAAACTTTTCTTTATGCAAGCCATTATCGTTTTATCCACATTTTCTAACTTAAGGAATGCAATTATTTTTCTTATCTTCTTGGGAATCCTATAAGTGGGCCGGAAATCAGCCCATTAAATACATACATATATACATTAATTTCAGTTGGCTGGTGTGTGTATGTGCTTAAATCTATTCCCGGGCTGCCTTAAACAAATGGGCCAAATTTGGCAAATAACAAAACTATGCTTTTGCTTTGCTTGTCTGACTTAAACAGTCCACATATTTTTGATAAGTCCTCTTCCAAGCACTCACATTTAGTATTTTCAAGCACATATGAATAATGAATAATTTGTTTCCATTAGGGTACAAAATCTTCTCTGATAGCATATTAGGAACTTTGAGATTCTGGATTAAAACTCCTCATGAGTTCGATTTAGTAACAGAACTAAATTTTGCACTAAGTACGTGCAAACTTTGTGCTGATGAACAAGGCAATAGTTGTTGGGATTTGAGATGTTACAGATTGAGAAGAGCCAAATCAGTGATTTCACTATTCAGGATGGAGGGAATGAGAAATGTCAATTTATAAAAGATCCCATTCTGTCAGGATTTCTTAAACGTTTCCACAAAATTCTTAGAATTCTTATGTTTTATGCAAGTTCTGTATTCTGTTCCAGTGTAGCTTAGTGGTTCAGAACATGGCCTTTGCAGGCAGAAAAGCTGGAGTTCAGAGTCCCAAATTAATAACCCACAAGCTGTGTGACTTTGGGAAAGATACTCAACCCCTCTGGCCCACTTCTACTTGTGAAGTTTAAACATGCAAAGTGCTAAGCAGACTGCTTGGCACTTAGTAAATGCTCATTTTATTCCAGGGATTAGTATACATGCATCCATGCTTTAGTAATGCCAAATAGTTCTTTAAATGACTAACCACTAGAAAAAAATGTAAATACTGACAAGTACCTTGTTTGATGGGCACTGTTCCGTGGGCTGGTATGACACCATCACTGCAGGAAGAGACTGCGCAAGTGGAAGGGAGATGACAGAAATCATCGTTAGGTCAAGTTGAAGCTCGGGGAGATTGAGCAGCTGCCTCAATCACACAGGTTAACTACCGAGCTTGGACTAAAGACCAGGCTTCCTGGGTACCGGACTCATAGTTCCAAAGCCATAGTTCATGAATTTTTTTCTCTGTAAGAGAAAAGGCTGTAAGCTCTTTCACAGAGAATAATTTAATACCCTACAAGAATTGGGTCTTACATTATTTAGCAATGTCCCTTACCTTTAAACCACAGTTTAGTTTTCTAATTCCAGTTCTCCTTTTTTCTTTTTGTTTTTTTGAGACAGAGTCTTTCTCTGTCACCTATGCTGGAGTGCACTGCTGTGATCTCAGCTCACTGCAACCTCCACCTCCAGGCTCAAGTGATCCTCACACCTCAGTCCCCCACCTACCCCCAGTAGCTGGGACCACAGGAGTGAGCCACCACGCCCTGCTAATTTTTTGTATTTTTGGTAGAGATGGGGTTTCGCTGTGTTGCCCGGGCTGGCTTCGAACTCCTGGGCTCAAGCCTCCCAAAGTGCTGGGATTACAGACCTGAGCCACTATGCTCAGTTCTTTTTTTTTTTTTTTTTTTTTGAGACAGAGTCTCAGTCTGTCTCCCACACTAGAGTGCAGTGGTACGATCTTGGCTCATTGCAACCTCTGCCTCCTAGGCTTAAGCAATTCTCCTGCCTCAGCCTCCTGAGTAGCTGTTATTATAGGCATGTGCCACTACACCTGGCTACTTATTTTTTTTTTAAGTAGAGTTGGGGGTTCACCATGTTGGCCAGGCTGGTCTTGAACTCCTGGTCTCAAGTGATTCACACGCCTCAGCTTCCCAAAGTGCTGGGATTACAGGCGTGAGCCACTGCGCCCGGCCATAAGGTTGTTTTGTCAAGGAAGATGGAAATAACTTAATATTTTTGGATGTGTGTTATTCTTCCTTTCTTACTTTATTAGATAAACATTCATCAAGTGTTCCCTTGGTCAGGCACAGTGCTTAGCACCTGAGATATGAGGTTGAGTAGGATATGGTCTTCTCTATGTCCTGTAGCTCGCAGTGCAGGGAGGGAAAAACACAGAAGCAGATAATTAGAATTCAATGTTGGGAGTGCATTGATGGCTTTATGTTAGAGTATCACCTCTATTACTGAAAAGGGACTTTTAAAATTCTACTGAAAATGTGAAAATGACTGAAAACAGCACCATAAAAAGTAGCTCCTAGTCATATTCTTTTCTGATGAGTATTTACTGTGTACATACGATTGGCCCACATTGCATCCTTTGTTTTATAAATTAATCGTATATCACTATTCTATTTTATTGGTAAAATAGTAGGCTTTTAAGTATTTTTCCCAATTATCACTTACAAAAATATTGTTACAGCTTACTTTTTTTGCTCTTCCTTTTTCTTTTAGGGTGCTCTTTTCCTTAACATAGTTTGTTGTTGCTTCTCTGAAATACATTTATTTATTTATTTTTTATTATTATTACTTTTTTCAGACGGAGTGTTGAAAGACTGGAGTGCAATGGTGTGATCTTGGCTCACTGCAGCCTCCACCTCCTGGGTTCAAGCGATTCTTGTGCCTCGGTCTCCCAAGTAGCTAGGATTAAAGGTATGCACCACCACGTCCAGTCAATTTTTGTATTTTCAGTAGAGGTAGGGTTTCACCATGTTGGCTAGGCTGGTCTTGAACTCCTGATCTCAGGTGATCTGCCTGCCTCGGCCTCTCAGAGTGCTGGGATTACAGGCATGAGCCACCAAGCCCGGCCTGAAATACATTTAAATAAATGAAGATGGAGAATCAGACATTAGTTTCATTTATCTGAATCTGGTGCAGTTTAATTAATCTATAATTGTAAATCTTAGAATCATATGTCAGTATTCTATTTTGTTAGTCATGATTTCTAAGTGTTACATAACTGTGGCCCCAGCCACTTTATATTTTGGTATCATGACAAAAGACTGATTGTGGTTATTTTCTACCTATGCATTTATTCTTAGTGATATATGCTGGTTAAATTATGGGATAGTTTAAAAATACATGACAAAAATAGCTAAGAGTAAAGAAATGTCTTTGTTTCTGGTTGAATAAAATGACTACGCAAGGTTCCAATTTAAAATAAATTCTAAACGAATCATGTTATTTTCCAAAACTGCTCCTCCTCTCAGAAAATGAAATCAATATCTACCCGGTTGCCCCAAGACAGAAATCTCAAGATCATCTGTGACTCCTTCCTCTTCATCTGCCACAAGTAGAGTAGCTTCTATCTCCAAAGCCAATCTTTGATCAGTCCTCTTCCTATAGCCTCTAACTATAGCCTCTGCTTTAGTTCAAATCTAGAATCCTGCTGTGGTGGTGCTGTGGCTTCCAAGTTTATCTTCCCACTAATGTTCCTTTCTTCCTCCAATCCATTCTGTAAACCACAGTCTTGCTCTTTCTGAGACGCAGATCTTATAATTTTACTTCCCTTCATAGGCTGAATTTGACCTGCTAAATCATGTCAAAATTTTTCTGAAGATACCAGCCTTTCTGCCTTAATCAAACACGTTAGAAAATCCATAGCATTACTGGGAAAAAGCCTGAAGATCCCAAATTGATAAGGCATCTGGATTCCCTTTGATAACAGTATTCAATAACAACGAACACCTACTGAGTATACTATTCCAAGCATTTAAAGTGTATTAACTCTTTTTACAAAATCAACAATAATCATTATTGCTACCATTTATTGAGAGCCTACTTTACCAGGTGTCACATATTCATTTATTCATTATTGTTACCTTCTCTTTTTGAGACGAAGTCTTTCTCTGTTGTGCAGGCTGGAGTGCGATGGCATGATCTTGGCTCACTGTAACCTCCACCTCCCGGGTTCAAGTGATTCTCCTGCCTCAGCCTCCCGAGTAGCCGGGATTACAGGGATGTGCCAACACGCCCCAGTAATTTTTATATTTTTAGTGGAGGAGGGGTTTTTCTACGTTGGCCAGGCTGGTCTCAGGTGTTCCTCAGGTGTTCCTTCCGCCTTTGGGATTACAGGTGAGCCTATTGTTACCTTTAAAACCACCCTGGAGGGTAGCTCTTACTGTCTCTGTGAGGAATACCAGAAAAGGGAAAGGACCTTCCTGGAGGGCTGGTTCTGCCTCAAGCCAATCAGCTGACACTAAGCAGTGAAGCCAGAATCTGAGGTCTCTCTGCCTGCCCTGGTCTTTGCTCACCCTGACACCAGACACCTCACTGTGTCCTGAGCAGCACAGATGCCACACCCACAGTGTCACATAGAGAAGGGTGATGTAAATGAAAATGAAAACACTGTGACAAAGTCAAGGAGGGCATTTGTTTTTGTTGTTGTTGTTATTTTTGGTAGAGACAGGGTCTCACTATGTTGACCAGGCGAGGCTGGTCTCGAACTCCTGGGCTTAAGCAATCTGCCTGCCTCAGCCTCTCAAAATGTTGGGATTACAGCCATGAACCACTGCACCCGGCCAGTGTCAGGCTTTGTTCCCTACAAGTCAAATCAAAACAGCCAGCAAGCTGGGTTCCACCGGGTGGCTCACGCCTGTAAACCCAGCAGTTTAGGGGCCCAAGGTGGAAGGATTGCTTGAGCCCAGGAGTTTGAAACCAGTCTAGGCAACATAGCGAGACCCCGTCTATACAAAAATAAAAATAGGCTGGGCAGGGTGACTCATGCTTATAATCCCAGTACTTTGGGAGGCTGAGGGGGGGTGCATCACCTGAGGTCAGGAGTTCCAGACCAACCTGGCTAATATGGAGAAACCCTGTCTCTACTAAAAATACAGAAATTAGCCAAGTGTGGTGGTGCATGCCTGTAGTCCCAGTTACTCGGGAGGCTGAGGCAGGAGAATCGATTGAACCTGGGAGGTGGAGGTTGCTGTGAGCCGAGATCGTGATACTGCACTCCAGCCCGGGTGACAGAGTGAGACTCCGTCTCAAAAAAATAAAGTAAAAATAAAAAAGTAGCCGAGGGTGGTGGTGTGTGCTATACTTACCTACTCAGGAGGCTGAGGTGGGAGGATCACCTGAGCCCAGGAAGTCAAGTCTGCAGTGAGCTATGATTGTGCCACTGCACTCCAGCGTGGGAGAGGAGACCCTGTCTCAAAACAAACGAACAAACAAAAACCGAAATCACTAAGTTTATCCCCCAGCACCAAGTCTGTCCCTTAACAGTATGGCTGCTTTGAGTTCAGGCATGTGTCTAAGGCAGCTGCTTCAGAGACCTTGACACCTGGTGGAATCACAGAATGAAGACCCTGGGAAAATTTCTTATAGCTCATTTATTTAAAGCTTTACAATTGTTTACACTGCTCAGGAAAAAAAGAGAGAGAGAGAAAAAAAAAAAACCGAACAAACTATGGGTGTTCAGAGAGCTGTGTTAGCCCACAAAGTTCAAAGGAGAAACTGTCATTCACAGAGCTTGATTAACCAGATTTAAATTTCAGGAGGAAGTAAGCTATGAAAAATCTGTATCCTTTGCCTGTCATATGCCTAGTTTGTTAAAGAAAACTAGAGAAGGAGCTTGTTATTCTTTAAATAGAAAAGCTTTAAATCAAAAAAGCCCTGAAATGTTTTATCTGAATAAGTTCTCTCAGCAGGTGTCTTAAGAATAATTGATTCTAGTCAGGTCTTAGGGGCCAAGACCCAGATCACAAGGCTGGTGCAAGTTCTTCAAGTTGTGATTGTATCTGACGAAGAGGAATGCATACTTACATATTTGTGTAAGGAAGATTTCCTTATTGTCATTTCCTTCCATGACAATAGGTCCTGAAAGGATATTCCCTCAAGGCCCTGAGCTAGAGACCACAGGGTAACTCTACATGCTCTTCTCCTAATAAGATTTTGGTAACATCTGATTGTTTGCTAAAATCCCATCGAAGCCCCTTCCTGCTTGGTCCACAAAAGCAAAGAGGAAGGAAGGGACGTCAGTGGGCATACACACTGTCACCCATGCTAAGAGAAAAGGTAGTTGAGAGCTCTGCTTGCCCACACGCCCATCTGCTGGGTCATCCTTGTCCTATCAGGAGAGAAACAGCACTTCCTTTCCTCAGTGGGACTGGGAAGAGGCAGCAGCCTCAGGTAGCTGGAAGGTGTGCCCCTGGGCCTCAGACAGCTCAGGGGAGGTGGCACAGGGCTTTCTCTTTCATAGAGCTAATTAGGTTCTTATCTGTGCTACCAGATGAGCCCAGCTGCCAGCTCCTCACTTCATCTCAACCAATCCAACAGGCTAGTCAAACCAACACTGATATTATCCTAGCAATTTGTTTTACATATTTTGGACAAACATTTAAAGTAATTTAGTCCTCCATCTGTCACCTTCAGGCTAAAGCCCTTTATTTTCTTGGTGCATTGACCATGGGGTTCCATCTAGGTCCTGAAAGGATATTCCCTCAAGGCCCTGAGCTAGAGACCACAGGATAATTCTCTTCTCCTAATGAGATTTTGGTAACATCTGATTGTTTGCTAAAATCTCATTCAAAGCCCCTTCTACCTGGGCAGAGCCAGCCAAGTTGAGTTCAGCTTCAGTTGGATGCATATGTCAAAGTCCCTGGCCATTTGAATAGCCTTAACCTAAGGCAAGAGCAAATGCTGGCTAAACTATCTAATCACCATTTATTTATGTTGGTGGTGTTGGGATTTGAGAGCACAGAGTGGAAGGTAGAAACAGGGTAGTGTCTGTAACTACTGTCAGGTCTATTTCCTCACTTTCCTTTTTAACATACAAGGTCCTTAAAAAAACCTTGGATTTTTTTTTTTTTTTTTTTTTTTTTCAGGGGCAAGGGAATGTAGAGATGGGGTTTTGCTATATTGACGAGGCTGGTCTCAAGTGATCTTCCTGCCTCAGTCCCCCAAAGAAAATCTAGGATTTAAAAAATGATCAATTCATATAAAGAGAGACTGAAAAAAATGGAAGTGAACTTTTGCCTTGTCCCCAGCAGGCTGAGGAATTACCAAGGAGGCAGGAGGTGGAGCAAAACACACTAAGCCTGATACCAATCATTGACAATATTATGGTTAGTACTTATTGAGTGCTGACTACGGTTGAAACTGCCCTTGCAAAATTATGATGGAGACAGTGAGAGATCTAACTTAACCAACGCTATCTTGCCTCTAACCTCCAAGCTGTCCTTGTTCATTCCTGGGTGTAGGCTGAACTAACTTTGGGAGAAATTTAGTTTATAGTTTAAAACAAAGATGATAACAGCCCTTTCCCAAAGCAGACCTCCTTCTTGTCTGGGGACTAGATGGCCTTCGTAGGATTAACATGAACCACAGATTAGAAGTTATGGATAGGAGTCATGCAGCTGGAGGCTCCAAGATTCTGACCCTCCCTAAACTGCTCCTACGATCAATGCTTGAGATATTTTGCAGACCCTGCATGTGATGGATCAGCTGACGCCATCCAGTTCGGTAAACTGGTTCATCTGATCTTGTGCCCTGCACCCAGGAACTGACTCAGCACAAGAAGACAGCTTTGACTCCTTCTGATTTCATCCCTAACCAATCAGCACTCCTAGCTCACTGGCTTCCTCCGACCCACCAAATTGTCCTTAAAAACTCTGCTCTCCAAATGCTGGGGGAGACTGATTTTCGTAATAATAAAACTCTGGTCTCCCACACAGTTGGCTCTTCGTGAATTACTCTTTCTCTATTCTAATTCCCTTACTTTGGTGAATTGGCTCTGTCTAGGTAGTGGGCAAGGTGAACCCCTTAGGCGGTCATATGGTTATTGACCCTTCTTTTTCCTTCCTTCCTTCCTCTCTCTCTCTCCCTCTTTTCCTCTGTCCTCTTCTCCCTCCTTCCCTCTCTTTATTTCTTTCCTCCTATTCATAAAAAACTATTGAAACTGCCTTTGCAAAAATTACAACTAAGAAAATTATGTCAGTGAAAGAAATCTGACCTAACTGACTCCACCTTGCTTCTAATTTCCAAGTTGTTACACCATTCCTGGGTATAGGCTAAACTAACTTTGGGAGGAACTTAGTTTATAGTATAACTTTGAAACAAAGACGATAACAGCGCTTTGCCAAAACAAACCACCTTCCTACCTGAATACTAGACTGCCTTTGCAGGACCACCACATTAGCTACCAGATTATAAATTATGGTTTAGGAGTCATGCAGCTGGAGGCTGCAGGATTCTGAATCTTTCCAAATTGCTCCTGGGGATAACATCACTATAATAAAACCTAAGATCAGTGCTTGAAGTATTTTGTAGACCCTGTACTCCATGGATCAGCTGGCACCACCCAGATCCATAAACTGGCTCATCTGATCTTGTGGCCTCCATCCAGGAACTGATTCAGTGCAAGAGGACAGCTTAGACTTTTCATGATTTCATCTCTGAACTGATCCATCAGCGCTCCCCACTTTCCAACCCCCTACCCATCAAATTATCCTTAAAATCTCTGATCCCTGAACTCTGGAGAGGCTGATTTGAATAATAATAAAACTTCAGTCTCCCATACTGTGGCTCTGCATGAATTACACTTTCTCTGTTGCAATTCCCCTGTCTTAATAAACTGCTTCTGTCTAGGCAGTGGGCAAGGAGAACCTGTTAGGTGATTACACTAGTGGCTAAATTAGTTTATGGTTACAGTATTTACATATAACCTCAATTACGAGGAAAATTAAATGATTATGGAGGTAACTGAACTAGAGTATCCAGATTCTCTTATACTAAGAGTCACTGAGTATATAGTATTCATTGCTAAATTAGAAAGAAATGTTATGGCCCATCTGTAGACAATAAGGCAAATTCAGAGGAGTAATTAAGAGCCACCTGGAACCTTTACTTTTAGATGCATGACCTGTCTCCCCTGGTCTGTAGGCAGTGGAGGATTAAGGAAACAAGGCACAAGGTAGCCCTGGGAGTAAATTAACAGCATAATACACACTTCAAGAACACCCAGAGGTCTGTGAGTGAGACCAGGAGTTGCAAAGTTAAATGGCTGTAGGGACCAGACATGAGATATAAATGAGTAAATGAGCAGTGTTTGTTCTTTGTACATAGATTCACTTTGCATATTAAACATGGAAGAGTATCAGGAAGTGAAGGACCTCTTCAAGAAGAACTATAAACCACTGCTCAAAGAAATTAGAGAGGACACAAACAAATGGAAAAGCATTCCATGCTCATGGATAGGAAGAATCAATATCATGAAAATGACCATACTGCCCAAAGCAATTTATAGATTCAATGCTATTCCCATTAAACTACCATTGACATTCTTCATAGAATTAGAAAAAAAAAATTTAAAATTCATATGGGGGTTGGGCATGGTGGCTCACACTTGTAATTCCAGCACTTTGGGAGGCTGAAGCAGGCAGATCATTTAAAAGTCAGGAGTTCTAGACCAGCTTGACCAACATGGCTAAACCCTGTCTCTACTAAGAATACAAAAATTAGCCAGGCATGGTGGCACATGCCTGTAGTCTCAGCTACTTGGGAGGCTGTGGTGGAGGATCGTTTGAGCCTGGGAGGCGGAGGCTACTTTTAAAAAGTCAAAAAACAACAGATACTGGTGAGGTTGTGGGGAAAAAGAAATGCTTTTACACTGTTGGTGGGAGTATAAATTAGTTCAACCATTGTGGAAGACAGTGTGGCGATTCCTCAAAGAACGAGAGGCAGAAATACCATTAGACCCAGCAATCCCATTACTGGGTATATACTCAAAGGAATATAAATCATTCTATTATAAAGACACATGCATATGTATGTTCATTGCAGCACTATTAACAATAGCAAATAAATGAAATCCACCTAAATGCCCATCAGTAATAGACTGGATAAAGAAAATATGGTACATATCCACTGTGGAATACTATGCAGCCATAAAAAGGAATGAGATCATGTCTTTTGCAAGGACAGAGATGGAGTTGGAGGCCATTATTCTTAGCAAACTAATGCAGGAACAGAAAACCAAATATTGCATGTTCTCACTTATAAGTGGGAGCTAAATGTTAAGAACCCATGGATACCAAGGGTAGGGAACAACACACACTGGGGCCTGTCGGAGGGTGAAAGGTGGGAGGATGGAGAGTATTAGGAAGAATTGCTAGTGGATGCTGGGCTTAATACCTGGGTGATGGGATGATCTGTGCAGCAAATGACAATGGCACATGTTTACCTATGCAACGAAACTGCACATCCTGCATATGTACCCCTGAACTTAAAAGTTGGAAATAAAAAATTTTTAAAAATTAAAAAAAGAAAAGAGAAGACTGGGCACGGTGGCTCATGCCTGTAATCCCAGCACTTTGGGAGGCCGAGGCAGATGGATCATCTGAGGTCAGGAGTTTGAGACCAGCCTGGCCAGCATGGTGAAACTCCATCTCTACTAAAAATACAAAAATTAGCAGGACGTGGTGGCTCGTGCCTGTAGTCCTAGTTACTCGGGGGGCTGAGGCAGGAGAATCTTTTGAATCCGAGAGACAGAGATTGCAGTGAGCCGAGATCATGCCACTTCACTCCAGCCTGGGCAACAGAGCTGGACTCTGCCTCAGAAAAAAAAAAAAAAAGAAAAGAAAGAAAGAAAAGAGAAGTACTTCTTTATCACAAAGAATATACAGAGGTGAAAGTATGGTGGTAAATGAAAATTAATAGCCTCAGTGTTGGGAACAATTGGGATTAGTGAGGATTGTGGCAAACTGGAGACCACATGTATCATTTAAGAGCACAGTGGTCACTCTGCTCTAGCAGATTACTTCATGAGGGAATATGGCTTTAAATTGCCAAAATTCCAATTTTTCAAAAATAAAAAAACTGTGAATATATATGTTTGGTCAGGCGCGGTGGTTCACACCTGTAATCTCAGCACTTTGGGAGGCCAAGGCAGGCGGATCACAAGGTCAGGAGTTCAAGACCAGCCTGGCCAACATGGTGAAACCCCGTCTCTACTAAAAAATAAGTCAGGCATGATGGCAGGTGCCTATAATCCCAGCTATTCAGGAGGCTGAGGCAGGAGAATTGCTTGAACTTGGGAGGTGGAGGTTGCAGTGAGGTGAGATCGCACCACTGCACTCCAGCCTGGGTGACAGAGCGAGACTCAGTCTCAAAAAAAAAAAAAAAAAAAAGTATATATATGCACATATACATACATATATATATATATATATGAGCTGTATCCCGATTTTTAAACATTTCCTCAAATAAAAAGGTACTGCATAGGTAAAACCAAACAGTTTTGCAGCTTTGCAATTTTTTTCTTTTTTCCTTTTTTTTTTTTACTTATGTCTAGACCTGAAGGAGTCAAATTCAGGCAAATATCTGGGAATCAGGGACCACACAGAATCAGATCAACCTGGGGCTGTGTGTAGAAGACATGTGAGCAGTGAGGACTGCAGAAGCTATGGAAGAACTAGAGACAGAAAGTTCTGAAACTATCTTCGCCTTAGGAACAGACTTTCTCTTCTAGCTGTAGCAAAAACCAGTAATGGTTTCCCAGGCAACATCCAGTCTGGCATAACCTGGAAGTTCATGTGTTTCTGCAATGCAGTATCATCTCCTGATGGGCAAATTTTGACATAATTTTCCAGACTTTTAACCAATCCAGGAATGGAAGCTTAGAATGTTCTACTGAGTATCAACTCCCTGTCGTGGCAAATATTAACCCTTCTGTTATGTGCAAAGAGCTCTTAATGAATTCTCATTATCTTAGTAGCACATTAGAATCAGGTTCTCAAAGCCTGAATGCTTCATAAGTATTCTCTAGGTGATATTTATATTTTATTTGTGGTGCTTACAATGAATATAGATAATTGTATATTTGTAACATCAATATACTAACTAATGTGGTACTTGACCTAAATGGCTTTAAATATTTCTTCGTAATTGGGCAGAGCTTAGTGGCCTGTTTTCAGATAGATGCTCAGGTTTACACACACGACTCCTCAAAGACAGACTTAAAAATATTTGCTTCCAGGCCTGGTGCGTTGGCTCACACCTGTAATTACAGCACTTTGGGAGGCCAAGGCGGGCAGATCACTTGAGCTCAGAAGTTCAAGACCAGCCTGGGCAACATGGTGAGACCCCCATCTCTACAAAAATACAAAAAATTAGCTCTGTGTGGTTGCGCACACCTGTAGTCTCAGCTACTCAGGAGGCTGAGGTGCTAGGATCACCTAACCCTGGGAGGTTGAGGCTGCAGCGAGCCAAGATTGCACCACTGCATTCCAGCCTGAATGATACAGTGAGACCTTGTCTTAAAAAAAAAAGAAAAAAAGAAAAAAAAATTCTTCCTTTATTAAGGAATAACAATAAAATACTGCTGGGTAGTGTCAATAACCATACTATCTGAAACTTTTTAAAAGCCTTTCAAATAACTTCAAACAAACATCTATATTGTTTTTTAGAACACTGGGGAAATAGAATTTAAATGAACAACTGTGTCTTTTAATCCACATTGCATATGTCTGTTATTATTTAAGTCTCATTATTATTTTTTCCACTTACTCTGCAGTGATCTGAACTGACATGGCCTAGCGTTACTGGTCCAGCAAAGCAGTGGAATTCTGTAAGCACACTGCACTAATATCAGCAAGGCATTTGGTGAGGGCATTTGCTGCCAAGTTTCGGAAATTATGATAGAGCTGCTACAAATATTCAAATGCAGGATTTG